GTAATTTAAGTTGGTCAGATCGTAATAATATTTTACTACATGATTAACAAAGGATTCAAATTCGTATTGAGTAAATTTTTTTTGAAAATTCAAGTAGTGTCCAAAAGTCCAGTAACCTTTTTTGATATATAGCTGTATGTAGCTATTTAAAAGAGCGTTGAACACCAAGACCAAAATGCATTGTTGCCTTTATAAACTCCATGCTAGTTCCCTCACAAAATGACAATAGACCCGGCTTTGCAGCTGGGGACCACGTGACTTCACCTACCTTAAATCAATCAGCTATCAAAAAATGATGTTCAGAAATGGAAAGAGAAGGTTTATGTTGGTAAAATGGCAAATTCTCAAGTCTCAACTCTAAATACTTCAAAAATGACAGCAAATGTAAATATTAATTTTCCTAAAGAAATGGGAAAATAGAACCGGAGAGCTCTCCAGTTCTGTTTTGCATATGTTTCTTTATAAATAAAAGATTTTATATTTGCTATCAATTTTGAAATATTTAGTGTTGAGACTTGAAACTATGTCTTCTTACTTATTTTGATCCCTTCTTTTCATTTCTGAACATCATTTTTTGATAGCTGATTGATTTAAGGTAGGTGCGGTCACGTGACGCCCAGCTGCAAATGGCTATTCTAAGCCTTAATTGCTTTCCATTGAAATTTCTGACTTTATGGAGCTGCTATAGTCACTCACTGACAATACCAGATCTCCTTTTAAATAGCAAGTAGAACGACCATCAATACGTTTCGGTCTTGGACTACGGAATTCTCGGCTGGGAAATCCTAGCTACGCACTCTACGACGSAAGACCRCGTCGTTTGTGATAAACTGTTTAGTTGTCATTGGTCTAGTAGTTACCACATTTGTAAACGAATCGAGTTTTGCGAGTATAATAAAAACCTAAGTAAGTTGTGTTTCGGAATTAAGGACATTAGTACCAGTATTAATAACAGGGTTATTTTATTTGTATTGATATATATTAATTTTCCAATATACTGCAGGTAATGGTAATTGGGGAGKATGGTCTTCATGGAGTCGATGCAGTGTAATATGTGGTACAGGAACTCGTACAAGAACACGCCTGTGTGATAACCCTCCACCTAGATTTAAAGGTAAACCGTGTCCAGGAAGCAGCCAAAGCTCTGAAGAATGTAGAAGTTGTGGGTTAGGTACGTACTAATCAAAGTGCGAAATCCCTCCAATCTTGTAGTCAGTTCTTCAAAGGCATCCAGGCCATTAGTAGCCATTCTTTTATCGAAAAATGACAGCGAACTTGCACCTAAATTATTCCTGACCTGCGGTCACAAAGAAATGTTATTGTTAGAATACCAGAATACTTTTTTGTCCTCTTTCCACACAGGGACCGCGGAGCTGGATCTTGTTTGGGGGGGGCTAGCGGCGAGGAGGTACTAGGGGGGTCGGAAATTTCTGAAATCTTAACTCTCGGAAATGCCATTTCCAGCATTTTGAGGCGTCCAAGACATATTTACCGCAGACACTGTCAGTAATATTATCAATAAAATCCCAAAGACTTCATAAGGAGGCTCTTCGCTTCTTTATTTAAGAAAATCAAAGATGTCGTAAATATTATTGGGGGGGCTGTAGCCCCCCAGCCCCCCCTGCTCCGCGGTCCCTGCCACAGGCACCCCACTCCTTCTCTAGCTTCTGTTGATAGAATTCAATCACCTGTTCCTACATTTTAAATAATAAGACGACAGATTTGAGTTTATAACAAGACATCTTTCGGCATCCTTATTCCATCATCAGTTGTATAAGATATAATTTCATTCGCCCAAGAGCTTCTATACAACTGAAATGGCATAATGCCACAATCTGAATAGGGTCAAATCAGTATCGAAAAAAAATCGTCGGTGAAAATCGTCTAAAGCAACATCACCTTAAAGATTAATGCAAATAAATGTACAAAATACGGTATTGAATGAGGGCTTTCTTATTGTTTGCACGAAAATGCTATTAAATCTTTCACCGCTCGAGACTGTTTGCATCAATAACAATGCTTCTTCGCTTCTATGGTCTTMTATGAATATTCCTTGGCTGTCAATGAACAGTAAAAGGTGTAGTAGTACTATTCAAATCAGCATAAAGATGTCTTATTTAYCCTTTMCAGGTTCCRACGATTGTGAGTCTGTCGACGCTGACGCACGATGCAGTGATGTGTGCAGGCTGCCTAACCACAGGTAGCCCAACCTGGCTGCCTGTGTTAGTTGGTATTGTCATAAACAAGACTCGAAACGTTTTAATCTTAAATTAAATAAAACGCACTAAAGCTTCTAACGTGTGCTCATAAATGTTTCTCAGCAYTGAACGACTTCCACGTGAATTGGGGGAGTTATTATATTTGATATTTATTCCTTTCTTCTGGTCTGTAAAAATGAGTTGCTGGACAATGTAGACAGCTCGCGCTTATTTACAATGCGAAAACCCCAAACYTGCCTTTCTCTTCAGCAATCAATTTGACAAAACGCCAGAAAATCAACTTTTAAAAGAAATSTTTAACCAAGTAATCATAGACCATATGAAAAAGGGCATGGTAGCCTGCGTAGCCAGGCGTTCCTAGCCGCTCCGAGAGAGTTTGGGCCGGAGAAACACACTATGGTAATGTCTTAGTTTATAAGATGTTTAATATATCATTACTGCACGTTGAAGGAACATATTACAATGAATAAGATCTGAGAGTTTCAATGCTCTAACATTTAAGGACCAGAAATWACAGGGATTTGAAATTGCAAAGATTTGAGTGAAAATCAGTATTGAGSSCTTACCAGCCTCGTTTTCACGTTTTTGGTACATTTCAAATGCTCGTAACTCTGCCGATATTCAACATTAGTAACTAAAACTGCTCCAGTTTACTAGTTTAGATATACTGTTTCTAATAGTGAAAACAGCTTTTTAAAAWCATGATCYGTTTAAGGTGCTYATTCCCAGTCTTCTGCTCGTTTTTCATATGGTCAATGAACACATTTTATGCAATCTTCAGACGTAGGCCGAGCAAATCTGGAAATTTTCGAAAGCGTCCAAATGGAAGCTCGATAAAGATAGATGTGCACGCGGAAATTTTTATATATAATCCAAAAAGACGGCGATGCGAAAGTTTCTTTCAAGATTTGGACAWGCCCCTAGTCTTGGCCCTAATCTCCTTTAGAGCGGCTAGGAAGGCCTTGTTATGAGGCTATGAGTTCAGCTGTTGATTTTGTAAGCCGCCACTCTACTTCTACAAGTTTGTACAGCTGTATTTTAAGTCTTGGAGATATTTGGGTTGTGTCTTCAAGTAACTCCATTTCAAATKTAATCAGAGGATATTTGCTATTGATTTCCCATTCATATATTTAGTACTCCGAACTACCATCCAAAAAGCAAGCCGCATTCACTGATCGTGTGATGACCTTCTCCATTCTCGATAACAAACGTTYATGGGTGAGAAATCTCCAAGTAAGCTACGACTTATACATGTGTTTTCCGAAATGCGCAGTTCCTTTAAAAATACCACAGGTATGAGCACATGAAAATGAGATGTTTTAAACACTGGGACTTTCTTGCCTTAATGCGCATGTCTGAGATGTTTTTCAAAGCTCTATTATGGCAACCAGAGCCCGCGTAACTTTCGGTCTGCGGCAAAGTTATATTACTTTGTTTTTTRATGAAAAAAAATRTGATTGATATTTAATGTTTGCCTTCTTAGAATTACTTTCCAGATTGTAGACGAGGGAGGTACATTGCTAGATAGTAGGTAAAGTACTTCAATATCTAATAATGCGTTTTGAGTACGATGGCTGTTTTACACTGAATCCGCGAAATCTACTGTCATTTGGTGTATTTGCTCCTGTCAAAAGTCAAATCAAAACTGCGAAGTGGCGCAAGAGAAAACGCAAGCACAAGAGGTCTTATATTCCGTCGTGGAAACCGCCCAATGCAGTGATACTAGCACAAGATACAAGGCTCGAAATAACGTCTGGACCTACGCAGGACATAATGTTGTTCCAAACATCTTTTTGGAAGATCATGATAATAYGCCCTTTCAAATTCCAATTTTACAGGGACATTTAGCAAATTTGGAAGGACATTGTCCTTTGACTTCCCCTTRTTTCAARCCCTGAGATATCAAAWTTTTTCCTGTTTTCTTGCRCTTGCTCTTGTTCTTGCGCTTGATTTCGCTAGTGAAAACGAAACGTCACTTACGTTTTGCGCTGGTCCTTGCGTCGCAAGTGAAA